AAATGCTTTCACATTTTACAAACCACAGGGTTTTAAGGTCTGTGAGATTATAAATTGTGTTTTGCTCACTATTTTTCTCTAATTCCTATCCCAATGCCTGCTGTATAATAGATGCTTAACAAATATGTGAATGAGCCTCAAAATAATCTGGTGGGGGGGCTTCCCTGGTGGCGCAGTGATTGAGAGTCCGCCTGCCGATGCAGGGGACATTGGTTCATGCCCCAGTCCACGAAGATCCCACATGCCGCGGAGCGGCTGGGCCCGTGCGCCATGGCCGCTGAGCCTGCGCGTCCGGAGCCTGTGCTCTGCAACAGGAGAGGCCACAACAGTGAGAGGCCTGCGTACCTGAAAAAAAAAAAAAAAAAAAAATAATCTGGTGGGGTAGATTTGGAAGTTATCATTGTTATTCCCCTTTCATACAAGAAGCAACTAAGCCTCAGAGATTTCATGACTTGCTTAAGACTTTCTAATACATGCTTTGGGGTGGGGAGGAGAGATGGGATTTTCTGAAAAATAGTCTGGTTTGTGATTACAAAAATTAGGTTCCTTTCCAGTCTGTGGGAGAGAACGCTGAGAGAATGTGGGATTATTGCAAGGAGTTCAGGGATCCACACGCATACCAAGAATTTGTCCACAAAAACTGGACAAAGAAAATGGAGAGAGGGCCTAGCCCCCTTCATACTTTGAGGTTTCTGGGGTAAAGAAATCCCAAACCAAACCCTCAAACATGGCAGCCCAGTTTAGATCAGCACATCAAACTGTCTGTGGTGAGAAACTAGAACTAGATCTTGTTCCCCTAATCTGATTTGGACTAATACTTGTAGAAAACACAATAAAATAAATTACTCTTAATTTCACCACTTATGAAAGACTGGTAACAAAGATTTTATATTCCAGCACTATCCACAGACCACACCTTGGCTAAATTGGTTTAGATTTTTAACACATTAAAAATATTACAACTATATTTATAATATTTTAGTATAGTCTTTATAAAAATATCAATTCAGGGCTTCCCTGGTGGCGCAGTGGTTGAGAGTCCGCCTGCCGATGCAGGGGACACGGGTTCGTGCCCCAGTCCGGGAAGATCCCACATACTGCGGAGCGGCTGGGCCCGTGAGCCATGGCAGCTGAGCCTGCGTGTCCGGAGCCTGTGCTCCGCAAGGGGAGAGGCCACAACAGTGAGAGGTCCACGTACCG